TAGAAATAAATAAAAATATTAAAAAAAAAAAAAGGCAAACGACACTTTATGGAGAAGTGATAGAAGTATAGAAATCCTGTGTTCCATTCTACCCTGGAAATCTTATAAATACTGACAAAGGTTATGATGATGGCTTTTCATGGAGCATTCCATGGGATGTCCTGTACCACTTTATTTGGTTATTAAAGGAAAGGTTGGAGGGCAACTGGGTGTCTCAGTTAGGTGAGCATCCAACTCTTCTTTTTTTCCTTAAGTTTATTTCTTTATTTTGAGAGAGAGAGAGAGCATAATATGCAGGGTAGGGACAGAGAGAAAGGGAGAGAGAGAGAATCCCAAACAGGCTCTACACTGACAGTGCCTATACAGGGCTTGAACTCATGGACCATGAGATCATGACTTGAGCCAAAATCAAGAGTCGGATGCTTAACTGACTGAGCCACCCAGGTGCCCCAGGGCATCCAACTCTTGATTTCGGCTCAGGTCATGATCCCAGGCTTGTGGGATCCGAGCCCCACATTGAGTTCCATGCTGTGTGGAGCCTGCTTAACATCTTCTCTCTCATTCTGTCTCTCTCTCTCTCCCCCGCTCACTTTCTCTTTATAAAATAAAAATTTAAGGGGCACCTGGGTGGCTCAGTTGGTTGAGCCTCCAACTTCAGCTCAGGTCATGATCTTGCGGTTTGTGGGTTTGAGCCCCGCATCAGGCTCACTGCTATCATCCAGTCAGTGCAGAGTCTGCTTTAGATCCTCTGTCCTCTTCTCTCTGCCCCTCCCCAATTTGTTCTCTCTCAAAAAATAAATATTTTAAAAAATATAAATAAAATTTTAAAAAGAAAGCTTAAAAAAACAAAAGGAAAGGTTGACTTCAGAAGGCTGAGGGCTTTGGGTGCAATTTAGAGTATCATTGCAAAATAAGAGAGAGAACATATTCCCACTAATGTTCTATAGAATAAAAATTAAAAATATTTTTCTAATATCTTGTTATATTGTATTACTTTACATTGTATTACTCAACTAAAATGCAGACTAAAACACAACACACAGAATATACCAATTTTGTTATTTTGTATGCCAAGGGAGAAATTGGAAGAAAATAGACCAAAATGTTAATGGCAGTCTTCTCTTACCTGGTAAAATTAGAGTTATTTTTAAGAATATTTTTCCTAACTACTTTTCTATTTATTTTTTCCCACTATTTCTGCAATGAACACATGTACATTACTTGTGTTAAAACTAGAAGCATTAATTTTTTTAAAAATCTCAGGAAAAATCTCTCTCAGGAAAGAGTGTGTTATACACTCCAAACCAAGACTCAAAACAGATTTCTAACAACCCAGTGGAGGAACTTAAAAGGAATGAAGGAAGTGTCTTTATGTTGATTCATTGAAATGAGAACTTTCTCAACACCTTTGTCAACCTAGAAGATTAATATAGGATAAAACCACTGCAGCAAGGAGTTAATATAAGAGATAGTGAAATCGCTCCTCAAATTGTTCATGTTGACTTCTTAAAAATTCTTTGTAGCCCCCATAAAAGAGATCCTGTGGTTTTAACTTGCTCTGTGAGAAATTCAATCTGTAGGCCTGTGTTTTAAACACACAGGATAATATTATATAACTAAGCAGCTGGGAAGATTAATCGCGATCGAAAATAAAAAGGGAAAGCGTACAGTACACCAAAGCTGGACTGTTTAACTAGAAAAGGGTGACTCAAAGGAAAACAGTTATTTGTACAGGGTAATCAAAAGTCAGCCCTCAGACTTATCAACTAAGAATAAAGACATTTTATCTCATATTTGACTCAAAGGTACTGCTTATCCAAACAATGATTACACTAGAAATACTGCAAATAACATCCGGGAACACGTACACAAAATACATGTGTTATGGACCATTTGTGAGGTATTTATTTCCAAATTTCATGCCCATTCTTAAAATCCAGACCCCTGAGTGCGTCTGTGATTTCTTGGTCTTTCCTTCCTCGCTCACACCCTACTTTGCAGTGGTGCCCAACAGCCTAGTTTCTTGAACGCCATTGTGTTACAGCGCAGTTGCCACACCCTTGACACGCACCCCTGGTCCGGCCTGCACATTCGAGCCCCATGGTGTTCATATTTCCTCAGAACCCACCACCCCTCTACCACGGCATGTTCATTCGGACACAAAGATGCATAGAGCAGCATCAGGGTTTATGCCAGGTTCTGGGGACACAAAGATGAATAAAACATTGTCTTGCACTCAAAGAACTTTGAGCAAGGGACAGATGTACCAACAACAGTTACCATATGGCTGGCTTTGGGGGAGAAAGTGGGCATTTCTGTGAAGCCAGCCTCGGATTGGCCATCACTTGTTATCAATGCACCACCCACAAATTCTCCAGCAAACACGAGTGCTTAGAGAAGGGACAAGTAACATGGACACATGAGTCAGGCTGGGGGTGAGAGACCCCCGTCCTGGGGCCTGAGGCCTGAAGCCAGTTGGGAGAGTACACCTTCTGTCCAGAAGCATTCAATGTCTACTTCTTTTTCAGATGTCTTGCCTGCAGGCCTCATTTGGTTTAGGCTGCCGGTGTGTGACTTCTGTATATTATTAACACATCATTTAATGTTTAGAACATCTAAGTCCTTGTTCTAGGCACTTTACATGTATTAATTCTTTTACTCCTCATAACAACTATTGAGATGGACATGATTTTGCCCATTTTGTAAATGAAAAAACTGAGGCACGGGAAAGTTCATGAAACTCGCTGAGGTTACACAGCTATCAGGGTTATGGACCTGGGGTTTGAACCCAGGCAGTCAGGCTCCTCAAGAGCCCACACTCTTTTAAGTGCTTGAAAGCACTGTACTGCTCTGCATCTCAACTTTTAAAATGTCTTTATTCAGCTTATACTACAAACGAGTTACACATTTAATGATTTAGTGTGCCAAATTTTCCTTTTATTGTTGAGCAAACCCCTTTACCTGGTATACTGATTTGATGGAAAAATTCACATCCATAGATCCATTAGTCCATAAATATAGTCACATTTCCTGCTTGTCACCCTCTTTCTGATCTTAAGGGTCCAAATTCTTTAGAAATACCTTTTTAGTTACCCAAGAAATATGTTTCTCAGAGGAGAAAGCAGGCCTTGTGAAGGACCAGTTACCTAATGGATTCGTCCCTCACTCCCCAGCTCCCCCCGACTCCTCCCAACCCACTGCCATTACCCTTCCCAATTCTGGGTATTAGTGGTTTCTTGCTCAGTCCTCCTTACAGGGACAAACAGGATAATGTTTTGTTTTCAATAACTGTATGTTTATAACTCTGTGGATCTTTCTGGGCAAGGTTATGAGGCCTGTGTCTTCAGAGAAGACTATAAGAGCTAAAACAGATCCAAGGGCACTTAGGGATTTGGTGAAAGGGGAAAAATATAAACTCACAACTCCTTGATCTTCATTCAGAATGTCTCCCTGTACCAGAGGATGTCACCACAATTTATTCACAGACTTTTCTGAGAACTCTGGACATTACATTCTGTTCTTTTTATTTAAGTAAAAGCCAAAATATTAAGAGTTTTCACACAGGCTCTCCGTTTTGCCTCCCGGCCTTTGTCCCCACTGCCTCCTCAGCCGAGACCTCCCTACAAATACACCCCCTCCCCAAACTCTGGGTCCTACCCAACCTTCCTGACACTGCTCACATGTCACCTTCTCTGGGAAACCTTTTGACCTCTGAAGTGGTGACATGTCTCTCCCGTATAGACCCCGTGTCCAGCACTTACTATTCCAGTTGCACCTAATTTGTAGTTGGAATTCATGTAACTATGCTTTTTAACCTCATCTGTACCTTAAAAACATATAGTAATACTTATTTCTGAAAAAGTTGTGCCCTTGAGCTTTTAAACTTGGCAGTGTATTTTACAGTCTCAAGAAAGGTAAAAATACATGGATTGTGGGCTTTGGCGTTGAACTAATGTGGGTTTGGCATCCAGCTCTAGTTCTAATGGCTATGTAACCTTGAACTTAACATCTCTGAGGCAGTTTTATCCTTTGGAAAATAAATATAGAGATTAAAGCATAATGGTCCAAATTCATGCTCTGCTGAGTGTTAGATGCTGTTATGTTTCTCAAGAGTAATTTAATTTTGTCAAAAGGAGACATTTAATCAAAAAGAGAGGAAGAATCCTGCCAGTGGAGTGGGAACTACTCAGAACGTTTTTTATGATGATGTGCAACTTTGCCTACATTGAGATGAATCTGTAAATTATCTGTCATCTGTTGCTCTCCACAACAAGATGTATTTTAATACATCTTAAACAGTCTGAACATGTATCGGACTCCTTTCAAATGGTCTAATAAGAAACCCTCAGAAATTTGAAAAATGAAAAACAATGTCGGCACCATCTAAGGGAGTGTCTTTTCTGCCATGAAGTTAATAGTATGGTAAATGTCACTGAGTAAGGCCCCATTTTAATCTCTAGGGGACTGCAAACTTCAGTTCATCTGAATTTCTAAGCATCAAATTTAAAATGGTGTGGAGAGTAATTTGAAATGATTTACTTACTAGTAAATTGGTTTGTAAGCCAATAAGGAATCCACTTGTGTGGACTTGTGTGTTTAAGCCCTTCTTTTTGAGATCATTAGACAGGAACCAAGATGCTTAGCAGCTGATTGCTGCCAGATTTAAGCTGGGAAGGCCCACAGACAATGCTTCCTAACAAAGACTGTCTCTAATAGACTCTTCAACCCTGGGCCATTCCAAATCCCAAGAGGAAACGTGTCCCATCTCCTTGCACTAGCCTCTTATAGATAAGCTAAAAGTCTCGAAAGCCACAGAATTAAACTAGAGGATATTCCCTCAGCATCACTATCAAGAGTATACTCACACATACCGCCACCTTGCATGTTCACACAGACCCACATCTGTCAATCTCTATGTACTCTACATCAGAAGCCATTCAGGGTGCTGTGGGACCCCAGGATGAATAAAACAATGTAGCTTTGTCCTCAAGCAGCTTTGGTTTGAGTTTTATTTGCAAAAAAATGTAGTATTTTAAGCCATCACTGATTCACAATGGAAGTAGGCACTAATTCCAGCCGAAGGTTTAGGAGAGATGAGATGGAGGGACAGAACACTAGAGGACCACGGAACAGGCAGGGAAAGGAAGCTGTGGCATAACCCTGGCCTTGCAGTCAGAGGCTCAGAGTCCAGATCTTCCCATGACCAGCCAGTGCACACAACTATGTTTTTGGTAGTTAGTATGTACTTGAGGATTAAAATTTTTTAATTACCAAAAAAAAAAATCCTTATTTCTCTTTTTCAAGATCAGAGGAGAACACTGATGAAAGTATATGGCCAGAGCTTATCACTGGGAGGCTCAGCTAGTATACTAGTTTTTAAAAAAATGTAGTATCTCCTATGAATGCTCAATACAATTTTGGTAATATACTTTACATTAATACACATTTTGTTAAGGCAGTTTTGGTCATGATAATGCTGCAGGACAGATCGTAAAGCAGCGGGATTAAAAATCAAAAAACAAAAAAACAGTAAAAGCTTTCAAGTCAGCCAGACCTAAGGTCAAACTAGGGTTCTAGCTTTCGACAGCCGGCTGGTTCACCTTAAAGTTCTTTTATCATCATGGGTAAGTTTTCATAGAGTTGTAAAGATGAAATGTTAGGGAGAAAAAGTGATTGACACTCCTCAGATATTAACTTCGCTTTTCATGCCCCCTAGCTGTACTGGCCCCTCGAGTTGTGGCCGCCCCACAGGCAAGCCGGGCTCCTATGCTCTTGTCCAGGGGTAAAGAAGCGAGGAGACATTACTTCTTCTGCCCCCTGGTGGCTGCACACGGTCTGCAGCCTCAGTACAGCTCAATCCACACTCCTTCCTGGGGCTCCCACCTGACAGAGAGAGCCCAGCAGACACCCGCTGGGCTGCTGGTGACAGCGCTGGTGCCTGGGGCAGAGCCTGGGCAATGCTGGGGCACTCTGGCCCCCCAGCAACATCTCATCAAGTCTGTGAGCCCCACACCCCCATCCTAAAAATTCTTAAGTAAAACAGTCAGCTCCTGCTGTTTGTAAACAAGAACTGTAAATAGTATACTTTTGTAAAACTAATAAAAGTAAAAGTCAGTGCCATAAAATTATTTTAATATCTTCTTCTCCATGACTGAATATACAAAGATAATGGTAGTAGTGTATTCTTCCGTTGTAAAGATGGGTGGAATATGTCAAAATCCACCTGTTGAATTTTCTTTAAATAGTCCTCCAGGGCAACCTGGTAAAGGAGAAGAATGGTCATTAGATCATAGAATGATTAAGTTTTTTAGAGAAACTGGGGCGCCTGGGTGGCTTAATCGGTTAAGCATCCAATTTTGGCTCAATCATGATCTCATGTTCTGTGAGTTGGAGCCCCATGTCAGATTCTGTGCTGACAGCTCAGGGCTTGGAGGTTGCTTCAGATTCTGTGTCTCCCTCTCTCTCTGCCCCTCCCATGCTTTTGCTCTCTCTCAAAATAATAAATAAACATTAAAAAGAATTTTTAAAGAGCTTTTTAAAAGAAACTAAAGAAAAATTCTAAGTATTAAGGCTATTTAGTTTCCCTGAGATGGTCTTCTATGTATAAAGAATTTAAATGAGAATTTAAAGGGCAGAGAAAAAAAATAAAAATATCTTCTTTTAAAAAAAAAATGAATTTGGATGGGGGAGGGGCAGAGAGAAAGGGAGAGAGAAATTCCAAGCAGACTCCACAATGAGCCTGAGGCTTACTTATCAAGCCTGGGACTTGAACCCATGAACCATGAGATCATGACCTGAGTCAAAACCAAGAGTCGGACACTTAACCAACTGAGCCACCCAGATGCTCCAAAGACATCTTCTAAGAAGTTCCTATTAGGCCAGTAAAACAGGATCAAAGAGCTAGTACTAGAAATACCAAGCCAATTCTGATCATAATTTATAGTGTTATGGTTGAAATGTGTAAAAGATTAGAGAAATTACTGTTTGTCGGTTCTTATTACTAGGTTCTGTAGAAAACAAAATGGGTGTTTCAATCAAGGACAGTGAATGCCATCACCCCCACCACCACCACCTCTCACAGAAATGAGGAGGAGCTCGAGTTGTTCATTTACAAACTTATTTTGTGGGAAAGTTTAATGGGTCTCCATGTTCTTGCTAGAAAACAATTTGCAACCTGGGAGGACCATCACAGGTCCCTATAAATGTCACCCCATGTCTCCCCCATCACACAAAGCTTGATACAGCTTTCATGAGGATTGGGGAGCAGGATGGAACACAGTGGTGATGGGCAGTGCTCTTTATTTTATGGTTTTCAGTTATTTTTATTAATCTGTACATTTTTATCTTACTTCAATGAAATGTGTTTTATTAAATATTTATTTACTTAACAGAGAATACACTTAGTTTTGCACAAACTCCGAAGAGGCACCTTTTGCCCTCTTGTCCACATGCACAGCTCCCCCTAGTGCCTGAGGTACAACCTGTGTGTCCAGCAGAGGTCCTGCTGTGCTTCTCTGGACTCTGAGCCAAAAGACAACAAAACAGGGGCACCTGGGTGGCTTAGTCGGTTAAGCGTCCGACTTTCGCTTGGGTCATGATCTCGCGGTTTGTGGGTTCAAGCCCCGCATCGGGCTCTGTGCTGACTGCCAGCTCAGAGCCTAGAGCCTGTTTCAGTCTGTGATTCCCTCTCTCTCTGACCCTCCCCTGCTCACGCTGTCTCTCTCTCTCTCTCCTAGAAATAAATAAAACATTTAAAAAAAAAAAAAAAAAAGACAACAAAACAGATTGTATTTTTTCCCAAATTTTTTTTCTACACACTTAGAGACAGATGAGGATATGTACAAACTCAGCATCTACTTCTTAAACCCTAGACTTACATATAACAGGAGATATGTGCATGAATGTGCACAGCTGCTTTATGTTATATTAGCAAAAAACCTAGAAACAATCCAGGTCTTTGACCAAAAAAAAAAAAAGAAAAAAAGTATACTGTTCACACAATGAAATATACTGCAGTGAAATGAGTGTACAATAGCTAGATGAAGTAATATGGATAAGGGTGTGTGTGTGTCCTAGAAGACAAATAGGTATGATCCATTTTTATAAAGCTCGAAAACAAAACTAAACAATGTATATTTTAGGAATATATAAAATGGGGAAAAGCCTTTCTGGAATAAAAGCAAGAGGATAATAAATTCAAAATTCAGGACAGCTACTTGGAGGAGGCAGGCAGAGGTAGGTGATGAAATAGGGGAAAACACACGAGTGGGATTGAACGGTGACATTCTAGTTCCTGGATTGAGTGATGAGTTCACACGTGTTCGTGATACTATGCTTTATAACACTTGCATACATATATAGATATATCAGATTCATCTGTAACATTAAAAATTTCAAAAAAGGGGTGCCTGGGTGGCTCAGTTAAGCATCTGACTTCGGCTCAGGTCATGATCTCACGGTTCGTGAGTTCAAGCCCCACATCAGGCTCTGTGCTGACAGCTCAGCCTGCTTCAGATCCTCTGTCTCTGCTCTTTGTGCCCCTTCCTCAGTCACACTCTCTCTCTCAAAAATAAAATAAACATTAAAAAATATGAAAAAAAATGTTAAAGAGAATGAAAGAAAAACTTTGAAGATATTTTAGTGTACTTTCACATGCTCTCTTTTTTTTTGGAAAAAAGAGCTCACATTATTCATAATGTTCTGTAACATTAAGTAATAGTTAATATTTTATGATCGACTTTCCATCTCCTAGAATTCTACTATGTTCATTTTTAATAGTTTATAATATCCAATTATAAGGAATAGTTGATAAATGAAGTTAAGGTATAAGCACATGATAGAATATTATATAGCTATTAAATATTTATAAATATTTTTAATGATGTAGCTAGATGGTTGATAGGTAAGACAATGACATATAAAGTATGATTTCAACTATACACAGAAATTCATTTAAAAAAAAAAGAACAGAATAAATATTGGTTATGTCTGGGTCTCAGAATGATAGGTGATTATTACTTTTATTATTTTTAGATTGTCTAAATCTCTATTCTGAGAGTTTAGTTTTTACAACTAGAAGATTCCATTAAGATACAGACAGAACACAACCTCATAATTAGAGCTCAACTGGACATTCACAAATCAGGATTTGGTTCAAAGGCAAAGTCTGGTTAACGGTTTCTCTTTCTCTCTCTCTCTCTCCCTCTCTCTCTCTCTCTCTCTCTCTCACACACACACACACACACACACACACACACACCTCTCTGTACAGACCTATGCAGTCTGGGGACTCGACTCACCTGCCTCTGGGAACTACAGGCATGACCAAAAGCTGAATGTAACTAACAAAACCCACCATTAAGGTAGGGAAACCAACACAAAGACTCCAAACTAAGGAACTTCACTGGGAACCTTATAAAACAGAAAAAGAAGGGCGCCTGGGGTTGCTCAGTCGGGTAAGCATCCGACTTCAGCTCAGGTCATGATCTCATGGTTCGTGGGTTCGAGCCCTGCGTCGGGCTCTATGCTGACAGCTCAGAGCCTGGAACCTGCTTCAGATTCTGTGTCTCCCTCTCTCTCTGACCCTGCCCTGCTCACACTCTCTCTCTCAGAAATAAATAAAACATTAAAAAACAGAAAAAGAGATCATACGCATCTGCTTCAGTAATTAACCAGCCTTCTCTGGTAACCACTCACCGTCTGAAGAAAAGCAGGAAATGCTTTCACAGGAACACTTTTGTGGAAGGACCTAGCCTACAAAGGAAGACAAAAGGAAATTGGTTTCAAACATAAATATTTCTGGAGATAAACACTCCCCCTCTGAGAGTGATCACAAAGCAATACCAGAAGTTCAACAACACAGCTAGAGCTTCTCTGAAAGGCCAGAAAATAGCTCTCCTGCCAATTAAAATTAATTTCGTAAGCCTAAAAGACTCCCAAAAAGGTACTTTAATGAGAATCCCATTCTTTCTTATGAACTGGCTTTGGCCTTTTCCAGCTGCCTCATAACACCCACAGCTTTGCCCCCCAGCTCTGTGGTGAGGGGTGAGTGAGGAAGTACTTGCATTAAGAGGCCCCTGCACCTCCCCAGCTTAGGTCATCAGTATCTCCTGGTTACATGAATGTAAGAACCTCCTAACTGATCTGCCTGCCTGGTTCTCGACCTTTAATTCGGTTCATACAGGCTGCCAAATGAATATCCTAAGTCCTAAGTCACTCTTTTATTTTTACTTTGTTTTAAATTTTTTTAATTTATTTATTTTTTTACTTTCTTCAACATAACTCCTTGATACACCAAGTCTTACCTCTTCATTTTGGAATCTCAGGGCCTCTACATCTTGGCTCCATCATCTTCTATCCCACCCAACTCCCTACCACCCTGGCCCTGATCCACTCACGCTGATGCCCATCATCCTGCGCTCACCAAGCCCACTCTTGTCTGCAGGTCTTCGTTTACATGGTCAGATGCTGCCTCTAACTCCTGACGTCTTAACCCCCTACACTCTGGTCTTACCCTCAACTGTCTACTAAAATTGCTCTTTTCAAGATCACCCACAATTTACTAATTACCATCCCATCTTTTCAACCTCTCTGTAGCATGCAAAACTTTAATATTCCCCTTTCTTAGAATTTTTTTCTCCTTTGGTTTCCAAGACACTGACTCTCATTAGTTCTTTAACATTAGTTCCTTTCCCTTCTTATAACTGGCCCTTTTCCCTTCTACCTGAGAAGTGGAAGTGGGCCTTGGATTCTGCCCTTGGTCCTCAGGTCTAGATGTGCTTTCTCCTTGGGCAACACCATCCACACAGAGAACTTTAACCAGAGGCTTTCTATGTGGTTGATTTTATCTCCAGGTCTGACCTCCCTTCAAAGTCCCAATCCTGCAGTCTTCAATAGCCCATCTCCCTAAGTGGCCTCGAATCCTCTTAAATTCAGAGATGTACAACAGCTGGCCCAGAGGCTGCTGGTTAGTACCAGCACGCCGCTGCTTTCACAGTAGTCTCTGAACGGCACCATCATCACCTAAACCTGAACTCTGTGCAGCCTTCCCTCTTCCCGATCCTGCCACCATCCAGTCATCAAGCTTAGTTGATTCTACCTCTGTTGTGTTTGTGTACAAATCTATATACATATATATAAATATTTACCTTTAAGTCAGACCTTCTTTCTGTCTCTCCTGAATAAGCCTCCTAACTGATCTCCCACCCCCCAAATTTGTCTCAAACACTGCTGGCTGGGTTCTCTAATGTGCGACACTACTGTCACTGCTCTACTTGATGGTGGCGATGATGAAGGGAGCCCACTCACATGTCACTTATAATACACCAGGCACGGTTACAAAGTCTTTATACACATTTACTCATTTATGCAGATCACAGCCCTTTGAGCCCTTTGACTAATATGACCCTCTTTCCCAGAGAAGGAAACTGAGGTGCAGGGGTTAAGATCATGTGATTAAGAAATGACAGAGCTAGGACTGAAAGTCAGGGTCTGGTTCCAGGGTCTGCACTGTCATACACTGTCCTCCAGTGCCTCTCAAAAGCCTCCCAACCTCCATTATCTTTCTTTAGTCCATCCTTCCAATCCTGTTTTCCAGGATCCTATTCCACATAACCTCCAAACCAGTAGTTTTCAAATCTGGCTATTTAAAATCATTTGGAAATTTAATTCCTGGCCCCATCCTAGCTTTACTGAATCACCAAGGGGTGGGGGCCTAGGAATCTGTATTTTTCAGATGCCTTAAGTGTCCATCAACTAGGATTAGTCAGGTTCCAACTCTGGGCTTTCCTGCATTTATGGTTCTGTTGTGTTCTCAGACGTTATCTAAAACTCTGCTAGTTTTAAGTAATTTCTCATCTAAAATTCCATGTATTTTACCTATACCTCCACTGCAATGGAGAACTGCACTTCAGAAAATTCAGAAGAAGATTAAGATAGAATCTTTGCCCTCAGAAAGCTTATAATCTGATTACCTAGTTAATATTTCACAAATATTTACTGAGTGTCTATAATGTACCAGGCACTTTAGATGATGAAGAATGCAGCACAGAATCAAACGAAGTCACTTCCATTCTGTGTCAGGTAGTGAGAAGTGCTAAGCCAGGTAAAGGGACTGAGGGGATGGAAAAGGAGGCTGTTATTTTAGAGAAGGTGACCAGGAACGAGCTTTCTGATAATGTGATATTTGATACTGACCATGGGGTTGGCAGTGGAGGAGTTGGGGGTGGAGAGCATCTTCCAAGCAGAAAAAAGGCAAGTACAAGGGACCTGAGATTTGCAGGTAAATGACAAGGTCTTCAGGATCCACTGAAGCTCAGAAAACAAACAAATAAACAAACAAACAAACAAACGGAAAAGATAAAGGTTCGCAAGAAGAACCAGGGATAAATAGCATCATGAGAAATCAAGGAAATAAAAAGTTTCCACCTTCCATGCTCATGGATAGGAAGAATAAATATAGTTAAGATGTCATTACTTCCTAAAGCACTCTACACATTCAATGCAATTCCAATCAAAATTGCACCAGCATACTTCTCAAAACTAGAACAAACTATCCAAAAATTTGTATGGAACCACAAAAGACCCCGAATAGCCAAAGTAAT